GGGAAGGTAGAAAACCTCTCATGGAAGATAAGATATGGATTTTTCATTTGCAATGTCTGCCATGTAATAAAGAATTTCTAGACATGCAACATGTCAAGACTATATGATGGATAAAATGAGAATAAGAAACATTAGAAAATGGATGCAAACCCCCAGGTGATGTAGGCATCAGAGTTAATAATACAGGCTATAAAATACTTTTAATATATTCAAGAAAATAAGAAAATGATGGGAGAATATATAACAGGGTCAAGACTTTCACCAGAGAAATATACTGGAATGTATTTTTAAGAAAAATCAAACAGATACTCTGGAACTGAAGCTTTCAGCTCTGGAAACAGGTAAACAGAGCTAATTAGGATCCCTTTTAAGTAAATCTTTCAGTAATGCCAGATAAAACACAACAACAAAAGTAACACAGAGCTAACTATGGGGAGAGAAGTTCCCAGGTGACAATACAAAGAGGACACTTAATGCCAAAATAGTAATCTTGTGAGCTGATGTCACCACACCCTGGAGGGAAGGGGTTTTCATCTGCACATAAATAGGGATACAATGTCCATTTAGGAAAAAAGGTCCATACCAGATGTACAAGAGTCTTCCTTTATAGAAACCTCTGCATAAGATGTATTGGATGACTTGCCTCTTCACTGAAAGGGAGACTCAAAGTTCTCCACATGTGCACACAGGAAAGGGGTGAAACAACCGGTTCTCTAGGGAAAAACAAAGTCTCCCTTAAAAAAAATCTAATCTCCATGCTCCTGCTTTATATGAATGTGGAATCCAAATTGATACTCCACTTTAGATTCCGGAATTCCCAAACCAAAAAATATAATAATTCAAGGTTGATCATATCACCTGGAGCCTTAGGATAAGCAACACAAAATTGTTCTCTAGGGAAACTTTAAAAACCAGAATGTAAGGGACAATCATAGGAAAAAAATTGTACTCACTATAGAGAAATTCCCACAACTCTACACACACACAGACACACAACTAAAAACAGAAGGAAATAAGTGCCACAGGGAAGAAAGAGCTAACCGTAAAACACAGGCTGATTAATATTTCAGAGCCTAAAATTATGAAACAATCTAAGAGAGAGCATAAAATAAGTATGGCTGAATCATTAAAAGATAAAATGAATCTTATATAACATAATGAACAATCAGGACATCATGAAAAAGAAAACAGATCAATTTTTTAAAGAACTAAACAGAACTTATGGAAACAAAATACAGATATCATATGGTATATAAAATTCAATGTATGGGTTAAGCAACATTTTCATCTTCAATATCTAGGGTGTTCATTAAAATTCAACAGTAATCTCTAAAGTAATTGTTTAAAAAGAGAATAAAAATAAAGAAGTCAAAATGAAGAATGCAAAATAGGCCGGTCACTATTCTAAGTTCTTCATCTATTTTATCACTTACTGCTCACAGTCTTTGAGATGGATAGTACCACTTTTTGTATATGAAGAAAGTGAGTCTGAAAGGGATTACATATCCTGGTTACATGGTTAGAAAGGGAGGGAACCACGCCCGGATAGGCTGTCTCTAGACGCCATGCCCTTAACCATGACTGCAAGGTATATAACAGGCAGGAGAAAAGCAGAGCAAAGCAAATAGAAATCACAAAACAAGATGCCAGAAATAAAACTTCATAACTAATCACGATGTATTTAGATGAAATAAATAATGAGTTAAAAGATTTACAGATTTCATTTGTTTACCTGAGACAAAGCAAAATTAAAACAAAACTGGTTGAAAGTGTAAAAGAATAACAGAAAGAGGTCAAAAGTTACAGCCAGAAAAAGAGACACCTGAGAAATACTAACCAATGGAAAGAGAATCACTCAAGCCTCCCTCAGGTTCATAGGTACCTGAAACCCACCTTGGCCTGACACTTACAAGCTCTGTGCCTGAGTGAAACATTCAATCCCACAGAAACTTCGTTCACTCACCTGTGAATGTAAGGAATGATCCCTCCTTCCATCCAGCCAATTTGTATTGACTGCTGTGCCACGGGTACTGGTCAAGCCACCTGAGGTCCATCAGTGAACAAATAAGGATACTTGTCCCTGTAGGACTGAGGAGGAGCAAAACATAAACTACAGTCGTGACAGTCATGTGAAATATATGGTATTCTAGAAGGTGATAGAAATAATATAATCAGGGAGAGGGGATTTCTGGGGCAGAGACAAGGGGAAGGCAATTTCCAGTTTAAAATGAGATGGCCAGAGCTGTCCTCACTAAGGACCTTGAGAAGGGGGTGCAAGTTGCTGAGCTTCCTCTAACACAGCACTGCACACAGGGTGACGTGAACCACAGAGGCTCACTGTCTCACAGCCCTGGGGGCGGGGAGTCTGCAGGCAGGGTGTCAGCATGGCTGTTTCCTCCTGAGGGCTGGGAGGGAGAGGCTGGTCCAGGCCTCTCTCCTTGGCTTGGAGACGACCATCTTCTCTCCACATCTCATCACGTCATCTCCCATGTACACGTGTCTCTGTGTCCACATTGCCCCTTTTTATCAGGACACAAGTCATACTGGATTAGGGCCCACCCTAATGACCTCTTCTTAACCAATGACGTCTGCAACAACCCTATTACCAAATGGGGTCATGTTCTGTAGTCCTGGGGGTTAGGACTTCAGCATATGAGTTGGACAGAGAATGGCCAGGGCAACAGGCCTGTGGGTGCATGTCTGATGTCCCCAAGGGCCAGAAGGGAGGCCAGTGTGGCTGGAGCAGAGTGAGCCAGGGAGAAAACCAGAGATGAGCTCAGCTTGGGGACAAGGAGGAAAGCTGTAAGGTCACCATAAGGACACTTGCTTCTTCACTGAGTGAAATGAGAAGCCATTGCAGGATTTTGAGCAGAGAAGATCACACCCAGGTTCTCACTCATGCCTGACTTAGGCGATGAGGATGAAAATATTTAGGCTTTTGAGCTGATAATAGTTAGACTACATGTTGGACTTTGAGTTGATGGTGTAGTGAATGAGATTCTGGAGGGTGTTGGGATGAGGTGGATGCATTTTCCATGTGGGATGGACAAGAACCAGTGGGGCCAAAGGGAAGAACTTGGTAGAATAATGGCCCCCAATATGTCCATGGTCTGATCCCTAGAACCTGGGAATATGTCACTGTTCATGGCAAAAGGGACTCTGCAAGTGTGACTGTCAAGGACCTTGGGATGGCAGATCACTGTAGGAAAGCAAACATTATCACGGAGGTCCTTAGAGGAGAGAGGCAGATTGGTCAGAGACAGAGATGTGAAGTGGCAGCAGAAGTCACAGTGACACAGGGCCCTGGGCCAAGGAGTGTGAGCACCTCTGCAAGCTGGGAAAGGTACGAAGATGAATCCCTCCCAAGAGCCTTGGTGTGGAATGTAGCCTTGGCCACACATTGGTTTTAGCCCACTGACATTGACTTTACACTTCTGCACCCTAGAACAGTGAGAAGATGAATGTGTATTGCTTTAAGCCACTGAGTCTGTGGTCCTTTGTTACAACAGCAATAGGAAAGGAACTCAGGAACAAACATGAACATGAACCACAGGCTGCCTGCTGTGCTGGCAGGAAGTCCTTTGTCTCTAATCCTAGGGGAGTGTCCTGTCTTCTGGCAGCATCCACAAACTACCTCATGCTAACCTGGCAGCTTGCAGGTGGTCAAATCTTAACCCTGCACAGTTCTTGATATTTAGTTAATAAAAAATATGGTGTCATCATTGGTATTTTTCAACCTTTTAAATACACTTCAGTCTTCTAATTGAGAGACCGTGTAAATAGTTTTCAATCTTAATAATAAATAACTGGTTTTATTTGGTTACTTAAATTATGAATAATAATATTCACATTAGTAAAAGTTATTAAAATCAAAATTCTTCAATGAAAATATCAAGTTTCTTTTTGCAAGAACATGTATTAACTACAAGAAATGTTCCATGCTTTGTTCTACAATTTAGTGTTAGAGTCTTAAAGAATAATATTTTCCTCAAAAGATATTATGGTGAGGGGATTTCTTTTGGTGGTACAGTTCCTTCATGAAATCTGGTGCATGGCTCAGGCCACTGGGAACCTAGAGATGATAGAAATAAGGAGGCATTATAAACACAGAACAATTTTTAAAGGAATTAAAAAACTGGATGTGTAGAAAACAAAGAATCAGAGAATATTCTGGTGAAATAAAAGTATTTTTCAGCTTAAGCAAGACACTGGGTGAATAAATCTAAAATGAAAAAACCACCCAGAGATTAGCAGCGAGTCATGCATGCAGTATGACTGATCAAAATCAAGTTGTTTCCAAACCAGTGTGCAGGCTTGATGCCTTCATGAATCAAGTCTGTGTGGCACCAGGCCACTTCAAATACATGTTGATGAGATATT